AAATGGACTCCTGCGAGCTCCCCTCCGGCCGAGCTGGGGGGACGTGCTGCGGTGGCAGCGCCGGACCTGCCCCCAGCCGCGCTCGGCCGCGCCCCGCGGCTCGGCCCCTGCGCTCGGCACCCCGGCCCTGCCCGCGCCCGCCCCGCCGCGGGAGCGCCGCCGGCGGCTGCGGGGCATGGCGGGCACGGCGGGGCACGGCGGGGCACGGTGGCAGCTGCGGGGCACGGAGAGGGTTGCGGGGCACGGAGGGGGCTGCGGGGCACGGAGGGGGCTGCGGGGCACGGCGTGCGGCCACAGCGGAACCGGGGCACGGGCCGGCAGAAAGGCCGTGCAACTTTTGCCCCCCCACTCTTTAGGATTTTGAACAATGGTTTCTGGTGGCATTTTCACCGCGCAACTGGAGTTTAAGCCCGAAAAGGGCTCGCGTAGGATGTTTTTTTATTGCTGTTGACTCGGCTGAGCTTCTTGCTGGGGTAATGGAACAGGCACAGAAGTCCCTGCGTGCGTGTGTTGGTGTGTACAGTGCTCAGCACAGTCCTGAGCAGCAGAACTCTCCTCCTCGGAAGATAACTGTATGGCGCAATAAATGGGTGGGAAGGGACCCATATCTACTTCCAACGCCCCTGGTAGGGGCAGGGAAGGCACCCACGAGAGAGGTGTCTCATTCAAGTAGTGTCAGAAAACATAAACTTCAAGTCAGTAAATTGTACTTTTGAGAAATACATTTTGCTTCTTCGTGAATGAGGTATTTATTAATGAAACAAGATTTGACAGCGGAATGTGATCAAAATTCAGGTCGGTAAACACGGCTGATCCCTGCCTTTTTTGGTGTCACACAGCTTACAAACATTTAAGTAAATATGCACCACATACTGCAATTTGTTTGGATCTCTCTCCTGTGTTTTCACAGTCTGTATCCAGTGGGATAACACTCTCCAGCATTTTAAGAAACAGGTACTATTTATAAACTATTACCAAAAGAACAAAAAATCCTTGAAAATTTCTCCAACTGGTAGATTTCCACTTGAAAATCTCTGAGATTTTCAAGTCTGCCAAAGAAATACTCATAACAGAGAAAAACATAGTAGCTTTCCTCGAATGTTTACAATACCCAAAAGCATTAAACAAAAACAAATCTGTGGCTGTACAAATTGAAACCTTCTCATGGTAGCAAAGGCATGAAATTTGTTCTTCCAGACTACTGAGGACTTGAAGATGAATGAACACTGGCTGTGTCTTCTGCATTTGATGGTGACAGGATCTTCTGGTTAAGGGACCATAGTCCTCACATAAGAATATTGGTGCAGGATTGACAGAAGTTTTTCTTGCTAATAAATCGCAAAACTTTTAAAATTAGAATATACAGATTAACTACGTAAAAGGTCATTTATAGTTTAATTACGTACCAAAGAAAACCACATTTCAAATTTTTCAGCTTCCCCTTCCAGTTTTAAAGGGAAGAAATTCTTAATAGATTAGGTCACATCTGAAAAACCTCAACTTATTCAATCATGCAGCTATTTATAAATCAAAATATTCCTCTCATATTTTCTTGTGTATTAGCAAAAAGACCAAGGCAGTAGGCACATTTTCACTTTTATAAATTTTCCTCTACATAGTTTACTTTTCAGTATATTAGTGGTTATCTTAAAAAACTGACTATGACCAATTTCTTTTATGTATGAAAGATAGAGATGGTGTATAGGGCGTTTCCAATTATAAACAACTTTTCATTCTATTGTCTTTTATGGAAAGGCAGGAGTGAATTGTGTTGGTTCCTCCAGCTCTGCTTTCTTTATATCTCTTGTATTACTAGAAGATCAAAACACTATGAACTGTGCCCACCTAAAGCACAGTTATTAATTTTATGCCTTCCTTCCTCTAAGCACCATTGCTTCTTCTTCCCCTGAAATTACAGAAGTTATTAATACTTTGCAGTCATGCTATGCATTTCACTTCCAGATCTCCAGTGTTTTTACAATGAGTATAAAGTATTTAAAAAAATAAGAGTTTCTCATTGGGTGCTATACAAAGAAAAAAAACCAACAACCCCCCCCACCCCCCCAAACAAGCAAACAAACACAACAGCAAGAAACAGTTGCACAAACCAAACCAAACCAAAAAAACAATCAAACAAAAAAACCAAAAAACACCAATCCCCCAAAACCCTGAAAAAACCCAACCTAACAAAAAACCCAAATGAAACCTCCAAAAAATTCAGGAAAATAAAAAAGCATGTGTCCAAATTCAAATGTTTGTGTGGGGTGACAAGCAATTATGTGCTGGATATTGTGACTCACGACTAGCTTTGTGCATTCATATGACAAATTGCATTTCTGCTGTTTGTTTTAAAGAAGCACCTAAGCTGACACTCAAGGCAAGTTCACTGTTCAGGCTCTATTTAACACAAATTATCTCTTGTCTCTCAGTTCTCTTTGAATTAATTCCAAGTAAATAGAAAGCCTTGAAATATGAATTTCACAAGTCAGAAGCAAACTGTTCAGTACTATGAAAAGACACCATTTTGAGTGTCATCTGGCTTCAGGCACTCATTTGCTAAGTCAAGATACGACAGAATACAGCTGAAGTGAATCACTGGACAGAAATAATTTTGGAAAAAATGTTTTACCTTTCTGCTAAGATTTTCCACTCAACTGTCACTTGTTTTGAGTTTTCTCACAGAAGGCCTCAGTTCTTACCTCAAAATCATACCTGTAAGTACTAATTTGTTTGCCATAAACCCAGTTCAGAGTTTTTAATTTCTCTGTTGAGAAATTATGACTGTTGATGACTTTGCTAAATGAAATCAGGAAGCAGAGGCCATGACAGTTAGTACATAAGGTACAGTGAAGTTTTGTTTCTTTTCAGAAGAAAGACATTTTCTTGAGCTTGGGTCCTGGCAAATAATAGATAGGACCACTGAGTAGCAAAAGTCCAGTTTGAAAATTTTGCCCACTCAATCTTTGTATAGGTCCAAGAGTAGTCCAAGATCCAAAGAAGCAGGGTTTTTAATCTTTGGGTGTTTTAGAAAAGCTTAAAAAATCTTCTGTTTGATAATTTCAGAGATCAGGAGGGACCTTTTCTAGGCCTATAATGTGTAACCTTCTTGGAATCTGGCTATAAAATAAGATTGCATTGAGGTCTTGGCAGCCAAAAGATAGCCAGGCACACTAGTCAAGGACATTCAACAAGGGCAGAAATGAGACCTACATGAGCTCCACATATATATGTGAGCACTGGGAAGCACTGTCAGCTTGGTTCAGAGGAGCCAGACATCCCCCTGACCTTCAGCTGATGCCTCAGTAGCAACTGAATCCCATTAAGCAGCGTTATGCTCAACACTTTTCAATCCAGATATACATTAAACAACAATGTACATACGTGTGCATGCCTGTGTCCAGATGTGGATTTACATCCATATAAATACACATGCATACAGAGCACCTATTAAGTTTATCAGCTCATATTAAACAATATCAGGGTTGAACTGGAGATGGCAGTATAAGCTGGAATCAGCAGTGGTTGAGAAGCAGTGTGCCAATGTGAGTGAAAGCACTGGAGGAGAGTTCATGGGATCCCGTACACAGCACTTTTCAGACATACCAAAGTCTGCATAAAATGCTGTAATCACATACCAAAAATCTGTTTTCAACTAAAGTACACACAATCTTTAGTCACAATCCAGAGAATTGCAAATATGCTAAGAAACACTGAAAAAAATTATGCTTAATTAACAATTTAATCAATGTATTTTTATTTAAAAAAATACATTGAATCATAAAAAAATAAAAATACATTGAAATACATAAAAATACAAGATCAAAAAAAGATCTTGCAAAAGTATGCAACTACAGACTTCTGAACAGTGTGCCCAGGCTGAAGTTTCTGTTCCCTATTCTAAAAGTGGGATATTGCAGCATTACAGGAATAATTTTCTGCTTAAAGACAGTAATATTTAAAAACATGCCACCAGTACTAATGAAGAAAAGTCAAATATGCCTTGAGCACCTCTTATCAAAAAGCTTAAAAAAATTGTCTCCATTATTAATAAAATGTTGTCCATAGCTATGGGTACTCTTCCAGAAAACAGGCTGCTGTATAATGTGTCAGAGTGGTTGGATGGGAAGGAGGAAAGCCTGCCTGAAAGTTGTTTTAAGACGTTTACTGACAAAAAATTCAACCAACTCGCTGCCTTAATTGCAAGACAAGTAACAAAACCCAGGTTAGAACTGGCTAAGTTAAGAATCAGATGTCAGAGCAAAGAGAGGGCAAAGGAAGGTGTTGGTAAATAGCTAGTGCAACTCAGAGCAAGTTTCAGTATTTTTGGGTAGTGTTCAAAATAATTCATTTCCAGAAAGAAAACCCCAACCAAATTCCAAAAAGAAAAAAAGAAAAAAAAAAATCCAAGCCTGTTTTCTTCTGCTTTTTTTGCCTAATTACATATTTTCCCCTAAAAATGAGATGGGAATTTCACACTGACTGTCAGCACACTTAGGCATTTAGGTGGGGAAGTGCCCCACCCCAAACACACATATTTGATAAAGCAAATTGTTTGGGGTTATTTTAAATCCATGGAAATATCCCCGAGGAGCACTTACGTGTTTTTGCGACATGGACACGCACATTCGCTGAGGCATTTTATTAAACTTCTCTGTCAGAGGTGGTGGGGCAAGACACATCAGTATTTGCACAAGATGGGACGTGCTTAGGGTTCACAGAGGAATCATGCAAGCTGCCAGGCTGGCCCCTGGTCCAAAGGGAGCTCTGCACAAGTCAGAATCTGGCATCTGCAGCCACACATGTTCTGAACGTCACGGGAGGCTGTGGGAGGAACAGGCAGGCAGAGACAGATGGCAAAAAGCCCGGAGGGAACCAGCACTGCTTTCTCCCTCCCCTGCTGAGGTCGAGGAAAAGGACAAAAGCTCTGCTCCCCACATCCATGCCTTGGACTGAAGCCAAACAGTAAATCTACTCTCTCTTTTTTTTTTTTTTTTTTTTAAGGAGATGCATTTGTGGGAGATGTAGAAGATATGGCCTTTTTTCACTGATTGGTATCTTGACCTTTTTCTTCTAAGGAAAAATATGTTCAGTGTGATCTTCAATTTAGTGAGTGTTGATATTATATTTAATGAAAAGACATTTTAAAGTGAGGAAAATGTCTCAACTCCTCCCATTTGAAATCTGCAATTAGCAGAGTGTATCTTTTTTTTCCTCTAGCATTTGCAACACGGCATCTTTACCTGCTATGTATTGGTAGAAGCACAGAAATCCACTGGCAGTTACATTTTACTTAATCTCAAGAAATTCAGAGGACGGAAACAGAGCAGTCACAGTGCTGGATCATGTACAGGTAATTATAGCTGCTTGAGGCTGGCAGTGATTACAGAGGACAAAAACAGCTCTGCCTGTAGGCAGGAAGGGATTGAGCAAGCCATGGAAGCAGGTAGCATCTAAATGGCATGTCATTTATTCATATCACAGCTAGATTTAGCTCCCAAGCCAAATCTTGTTAAGCCTTTGCAAAATCAAGGACCAAAATATCCTTTCACCTTGTCTGATGCAATTATTTTCTCATTTGCTTGCTTGTCTTGCCTTTCCACCCCCATCTAGTATACCCTTGCTGAGAAAACCTCCCTCATAGAGCCTTTTCTTCTTACCATCTCCACAGATGAAGGTCCCTATGAGCTTGTCTTTAAATTTAGGATACAGAACAATTGTCTGTCTTACATGTTGGCTTCAGCACATCCTACTTTCTTCACTCCTTTGCTCTTCAGTTTTGCTTGATCTGTTCTTACTGAGTCACCGTCTTTCTTCTGCACCCAGCTGTCATTCTTCAGATCCAAATACCTTTTTCACAGCATCCTTTAATTCAGTCCATCCCGCCTCCCCTTTCAGTAGTGATGCAATCACTGTACCATATTACATTTAAGAAAGCCTTGTCAATGACCTTGATGTAGTCTGTTAAGGAGAAAGAGAGTTTGGAAAGGAAAAATCAGGATGACCATTTCTCAAGTCTTCTCAAGTCTCCTGGCTGCAAAAGTGACGTTTATAGCAAGCCCTTGTCTTTAAAATAATTTTGTTCAGTTAGAAGGACCTGACAGACCCTGCAGCATGTCTCAGGCCCTGTGTGGGCAGCTGATGGGTCCAGGAGAGAGAGAGTGAATCTTGCCACTAGTACAGAGCCCAGGGTTGCCCAACAACCTAAAACAAGGCTTAGTGTTAATTGTTGTTGCCTATGGCATATCTTGCATTGAAGGGGGATGCTCATATTCACTATCTGAAATAATTTAAAGAAGAAATTTTATGGAACATCATATCATAGAATTTGGGTTGGAAGGGTCCTTAAACATAATCTAGGTCCAACCCACTGTCCCACCTTCTAGTAGATCAGGATGCTCAAAGCCCTCTACAACTTGGTGTTGAACACTGCCAGGAAATGGGGCATCCACAACTTCTTTGGGCAACTTATTCCAGTACCTCACAGTGAGGAATTTCTTCCTAATATCTAATCTAATCACTAATTTTATTGATTTCACAGTAGGCCTTCCTTCCCCTCTTAATCTCTCCCCTCTTTTCTTCTACATTTTTCAAATAAAGGTCTTGGGCCAAACTCAGGCCTAGGTGAATTCTACTTTATATCTATACTTTTATAAAAAAATTTGTAATTCAGCCTCCTTTTGATTGTGAAGAACACAGAAGGGTAAGGTGATGGAGTCATCTGGTTGAAAAGATTTTCTTCTTCTCACACCTGCTACTGTTGGTAAGCACAATATAAAATGACTTTCTCCATTATAAATTACTGCTGGCTGGTAGCCTACCTATTATCTCTTACCATGCAGCTCTGAATTCACTGCACAGCCAAGGGTGATTGGACAGCTTTAGCTGAGACTGTCACAGATGTAGGAGTGAGTTGGGTGCCTGCAGCCCAGGAAACACTGCCATTTCTCACATAGGCCACCCACTTGTTGAGAACAAGGTGTGTTTGTACTCCAAGCACCAGTGGATACCTGGAGTCCCATTATTCAGTACATATCCCTGGCTCCATGTACTACCTATTACTGAAATCTGCTCTGTTATATAGTATTACTCATCACTCATCAGGGGATGGTTTCTTTCATGATACTTGTCCTGTCATCTCCACCACAGGACTGCCACATGATTGTAGCAAACCCATCAACAGCATTGAAAACCCACTGTTATAGATAACCTTGGAACCTCTTTTACTGGGTATGTTACTTTGTTGATAACTTTGACGATTCCTAGAACAATAATCCTTGATTGTGACAGTGCCCTAATTGCATCTGCTACTCCCTGTTTCTCAATGTTGTCATCACCTGTGTTTTGACACCAGGCACTGGGTTACCACTCTCTGTCAGCAGCTACAACCAGGGTAGCAACTTCACTGTGTCTGAAAGGACCTTACCAGGAGGGTGAAGTATCAGGTAGCTGGATTTATTCCTTGGGAAATTATATCCTGGCACACTTCATTTACATTCAGGTGGAGTAACACTGGCCACATCAACTGCTGGTAGGACTGCAAGGCACACTGTTTCCAGCTGGAAGAGCTAAGGAGAGGTAGGACAAGTTCTTAAAGGGAAGATGACAGCTCACTAAGTTTAGTCATGAACTGGGAAAAGACACGTACTATTTACCGATTAACAAATTCTGTTGCACCCAGAGAATCAGTCTTGCAGAAAGCTTTTCCTTGCACCAAAGCTTTGGAACAGGAGCAGCACATCAATTCTTTGTGAACATATGGCATTTATTTTCTTAGCAGCGTCTCTCAGGTATAGCCTTTTGCAATTGAGCTGGCTCCTGCCACCAAGGACAGCTAAAGAACTCAGTACACGCCTACAGGAACTTTAAACAGGCTCTTGAATGACTCACGCTTCTCTGATACTATAGAAGTAATTCTGGCTAGCTTGGTGGAGGAGATCTGTCCCTACACACTTTGAGACATATGGAAAGTGCTGGCATGGATTTACACCAGCTACCTCCAGTTTTCACCAGGTGAGATACACCTCAGAGCTTGTCAGCTGACTGTCATTGATTCCTTTCCCTTTCCATAGAAAAAAGGTAGGAAAGCAGCATAATAAGTGGTTCCTAATAAAAAACAGGGTGGTGCATTTCAACTCCTCAGTTTTAAGTGACATCAGTACCTACTGAAACACAAACTGCCTGTTGTTGGCAGAATATCCTAGATAACAAGGATTCAGTTCATTGCCCTGGAAAAATTCACAGCAGTCCATCTTTTCATGCCAAGATGCTCTCAATTCAGAATCTATGTGCTGGCTGGTCCATTATTAGGCTACAGATAGTCTTGGTTTTTGTGCACTCCCAGTACCTGCTTTGTCAGTAGAGAAGGATCAGGCACACGTACCTAGCAGTGGCTGGTTGGTTGGTTTTAATCTCCTTAGTTCAGCATGGGTTTTAAAATTCCTAATAGCTGATGAAAATAATACTAGAGAATATTATTACAGTCAAGATCAGATTCTAACAGAAGGAAATCCAAGTACCAGCTTAACATCATGACAGCCTCCAGTATCATCAGGGCAGACATGAACAATACACAGAGAAAAACAGGTGTCTCAAAATGAGCAGAAAGCAGAAAGCAGGATGTAAGGAAATTACTTAAGAGTATTGGATTTCATGTAGAAATTGGAGTTGCAGTATTCAATCTTTAATAAAACAGCTACAGTCTGGGGACACTCTTCAAATACCTAAAATATGTTGCAAAGAATGGGAAAAAACCCTTCCTTTTTGCTCACAGCTGAGTTAAAAAAGGTCAAGATCTAGCAGATGGTAGATGTTTCTTTTCCTACTATCTACCTTAATACTAGTAATACCAAAACCTACAAGAACTTGGAGAGGAAGGATAATCTTTAGCAATTTATTTCAAAACAGACAAGTAGATCCTGCCACATACAGTCAAGATGCAGCTGATGGTGTCACACTCTGGGAAAAAATCCCCAAGATAAGCTTTCACATTCCATTCAAGGATTTCTAACACCACTATTTTTCAGAAACTTTCCAACTGAATATTCAGCTTTGGAATCTGTAATCAAAACTGCTTTTTTGGCTAATTGTTTTTGCTACCTATCGTTCCTGTTGTTACAGTTAAATTACCGAATTGCAAAGCTTACCAGTTTTACAACATCTGAAAGCTGGTTTGACAATCACACTTCATGTAAAAGGGATAAAAGGAATAAAGCAGATTTTTCTTCCTCCTACTTAGTTTAAAACTGCTAATGGCTCCTGAAAGCTCCAATTTCTACTCTGGTGTGCATGCAGATATTACCCTAAGTGTCACAGCAAAGTTGAAAATGTATATATTTTTAAAATCTGTTGCTATTTTGAATATTGATTTATTTAGTAATGACCTTGCTTCTTTTCCAAGTCTGTTTCCCTAATTTCCAAATTCTGTGGAAGTTATTACTTGGTTAGACCCAGGTCACTGTCCAAATAGCAGGTTATTAACAGAAGGGCCACCAGGGGATTTGGAGCAGCAGCCTCAGTTGTGACAGACAGTGCCAGGACAGGGAGAACAGCTCAATCACCACTTGCACACGTGTGGGCCCATCACACAGGTGGGTAGCAGAGGCTGCAGCTCACAGGCACTGTACAGTGCAGACTTTGGCTGTGAGTGCTGTGCCAGCCTCCATCAAACCTGTGCTCCTGGGGCACAACTTTGAACTGACCCTTTCCTCAGAGCTGCAGCATCAGGCTCCCTGTCACAGGCTGAGCAGGAACTGTGGCTGAATGGAAACACATGGCACCTTTCTTCCTTTAAGAAAATCCTAACTGATCACAGCCTCGTACCTTTTATTGTCTTACTGACACATCTTGTTTTACACTGGATGTGCTGCCTCACGTGGGAAAAGGCAGCACGACAGCATTCCATGACAGCATTCCAAATCCCAGGGCTAATCTGTGGGCCCCTTGGTGCACAGTTCAGCCTTCCGGCACCTTCACAGCACAGCATCAACTTGAATGTTTTTGCCTTTGGGCATCTAACTTTTAGTACCCAGCCTCTGCAACAGATGTGACACCACCACCCACCACCCCAGCAAGCTGGCACAGCAGGCAGGGAGGCTGCTGGAGCAGGCACAAAGAAACACTTGCCATCCACAGCAGTCCAAGAAAATGAAAAGTATTTTTCTTGCACTCAAGAGCTTGTGGCTGTAATTTTCAATTATGCTCATAAACACTTCATGTGCAAAAGAGGATAGCCTCATTTTCTTTCAGCCAGTTAAAGAACATTTGCTCCAGGGAAGCTGAGTCCCTTCTTTACCTCAGGGGACTAAAACTTCAGTTCTCTGTGTTCGAAGAAAGTACCTTAGGTTCCAGATGCACCACAACCACACTGCTGCACTGTAATGGACAAGGCCTCCGGGGGCAATTTTGCTTCCTGCAAAAGATATAGTGAGCATGTTTTTCTGAACCCCTCTTCACAATGCTGCTTGTCATTCACAGCGGTGTGGCAAAGCTGCAGGTCAGCATTCTATATTATTTTTAAGTAAATTCTGAAATAATCTTGAAGGGCAACTCAAACTGAGTGGCATACTGGGAAACTACATACTAAAGGAAGTAGTCTCATTTCTTTCACTGATGCCTAAACAGCTATACTCAGTGTACACTTGAAATTGAAAATTATTGAGCACGTTTAAAGGCAAAATTACTACAAATCATTATGGACATATGGTGGTATCCTCCCAAACCATCCAACTAACTACAATATACCTACTTTAGTAGGTATATTTACAACCCATAAGCTGAAGATGTTTCTGATCTGACGTTATTTCAAACTGCAGCTAGTCAGACAAAAAAGTCCCTACCCGCTCCTCTTGACTGAAGACAACAAACCTGACAGATTTTCCCCTGCACAACTTTACTGATTTGCAAAGAAGAGATGCATAGCAAAGTCTAAATGTATCCTTTAAGATAATGATTATCACCCTGACCCTTTTTTTCTGATGAGCACATAGCTAACATCATGCTGGGCAATACCTGCTACAGGTAAGCAAGTCACAGTAGCAGAGGAAAATATTGCTTACAAGAGAACCTACCAAGTATTAAACATTCATTTTCACAGAAGGAATAAAGTGCATATTCACAATTCCTTTCTTTTGGCTGTAAAAGAAAAAAAATGACCTTTTTGGTTAAAATCTGATGCAAATTTTCCCCTTAAAAAAAAGAAGTTCAGAGTTGACACTGGCACACAAAAATGGACACTTCAAGGTTATGAACAAACTAAGTTTAATCTAAACCTAGGTTTACAATTGCATCAGATGAAGAACAGTTTCAGTCTTTCCAGTCAACAAATGCAGCAGAAGCTATGTCTGTGTCAGCAAGTAATTCAATACGATAGGAGTGAATCCATAGAATTGAACAGTTGATGGAACTTCTATACCTACAGCATTTACAGTCTGGAAATGAGAGGCCCACTGTTGTCTGAAGCTCCAGACATCCTCAGCACAGGTGGTTTCAAGTGGAAAGAAGCCACTGCTATGGACTCAGATCACCATTCAGAGCTGGAAGGCACCTGGTGCACACCCAGAGCCCAGGTCCCAGTTCTGAGCTCTCCAAAAGGAAGTGAACTCAAGAGCACCAAAATGGCTTTGACAGCCAAACCAGTCTGTGAGATGAAGGGATGAGAGAGAGATTTCCCAACTGCACAAAGTACATTGCTGCCACAGAAGTGGCTGGAGACGTCCCCTAAAGAGAACATGTCTCTCAGGATGTTCAGACATCCTCACACAATGCTTTTACCCTGGCTGAATCACCATTTCCTAATGAACTGTGTTGCAATGTTCCCAGTGGAACCAGATGGCAGAATTGTTATCAGCAGGTAGGGCGGTAAGCAGCAGCAGCAATGTAATCAAAATTACAATGATTTTAAAGTTCCATTCTACCCACAGTATGAATTTTAAGACAGACATACAAAAATGGGCTGCTCAGGAAAACCTGAAAGCAGAACTGCCACTCCTGTTGCAGATGTTTGCAAAAAACAGCTGCTTACTTGCAGAAGTTAAAAACTCCTTAATATAGAGGGGCACTAAGATACATAAGATGTAATACACTTCAAAAACACAAGCATTTTACAAGTCCATTTTACAAGCCATAATGTCTATTACATCAAGATTCAACAATACAAAGCTTGTCTTTATATTTAAAAATAGAATATAAACAAATAGTAGTTCACATTAAGAGAATTGCCACAGCAAAATTTCTCAGAGAAAGTGCTTTACCTACAGAAAATACCCTAAAGCCTACCAAGCAAGCTCTAAAATTCTCCAATTTAGAAGTGGTAGGGAGAGAAACAAAACAAAAAAAAGTGCAAGTGACATCCAAAACTTTGCTAGAAATCAAGAACTCCAATTGTGCCATGTGGTTCAGCTGATAGTCAGGTCAGCTTCATCTCAGGAGTCATCCATTACTCCTAAATATGATACGGCACACCATTTTGAAAAGTAACAGAATATTTGATTTACTTACAAATGGCTTTATTGAAGCTATAACTTAATAAATTTGATATTCAAGGTGTAAAGTTGTCTCACAGACTAAAAATTAACACAACAAGGAAAAAACATAAGTAACACAGATTTACTTATGTTATCCAACTGGTAGAATTGAACCTGAAGGAAGCAATTCTTTCAAGATAAAGAATTAAGACTATCACAAGACTGAACAAACAGAGAGGGAAATACAGTAATAGAGTACTTCACAGTAAAATACCTCTTTATTTGGAATATATTTAAAACTAGCTCTTTATTTCAGGTAAGAAAAATAGCATTCTGACTTCTAGTCAGTGCTGATTCTGGTAATTTGCAACATTCTAAACAGCTAGAAAAGTTATTTGCACCGTTGTTGCCCATTAACAATTCCCCTAACTGTCCATTCACTGCCTTTTTTTACCTTGTTCTTAAATATGTTGGAAGAAATCCTTCAATAGTGTTTGTATTTAGATCTTGGTTAAGACTGACTGACTTGACAGTGACTCAGCATTTGTTATTATCTCACATGCAGCTTTTATGAGCTAATTTGAAAAGAACAACATGTCTCAGGAGCTGAACTACAAAGACAATTGAGAGGGCAACTATCCAGGAAGACTGTGGTAGAACAAATCCCACTCTTCTACTGTACAGCTCAGTACTGTAAAGTAGCAGCAGTTTCTTCTCTAGAACTTCTATACCTCTGTGTAAGAGAGCACTGAAGAACAGAATACTGGGATATTGCTATTAAAATTCAAACAACAAACTACTTCATATGTACATTTTTATACTCAGTACAAGTCTAGACTCTCTTGCTATGCTGTAACTTGAAAGTTTAAGGTAATTAGACCATGCTGTAAACAAAGACATAAAATATTTGTGTAAGCTTTACTGGTTTAGGAGTGTGCATAAACACCCGCCTTCTAAAAAATAAAAAAGCTGTTTTATTTTTATTTATGAGCATATGAGTAGGTAGCATATTGTAAAACA